CACGTTCCGTTTTCCTCGCATTGTCTTCGACTTCTACGTCGTTGACATTCCTTCTGCATCGAGGAAATTCTTATCGTAGAGACGGACGCGGCGGGCTGCAAGGACGTCGAGGGCGAGGACGAAGAAGAGGACGACGAAGAGGACGAAGACGATGAAACGGTCGGCTGTTGATGACTCTGCTGATGAGGATGAGCGGGAAGAACAAGGCTGGCCGTGTTCGAGGCGGCGTAAGCCGCGACTGCAGCGACTCAGGCCAAGGCGTAGGGGTGGGTAGCGTGATGTCACAAGCCAGGAGCCGCTGTGGCGACGGAGGGCGGCGGGGGTGCGCTGTTGCTCGCGACGCTGGTCGCGTGATGGTACAACGGGCTCTGGTAATATTCCTGATGATGATGATTGGTCATGTTGTGCATTGGACCAGCTGCATTCGACCCCGTGTGCATCCCGTTGTGATGGTGATGACTTGGCGGAGCAGAGTGCGCGTGAGTATGATGAGGCGAGCCAAAGTTCGCGTAGCTCTGGTGCAACTGCTCGTACATCTTCATCTCTGGAGGTTTCGTGTCTTGAGCACCTGGTGACGTGCCCGCCGTCGCGCCTGGCAGTAACCTGGTGATGCTGAACGGATGGCTGGCGGCGGTGTAAGATGGTTCCTGCTTCAAGCTGCCCGTCATTCCGTGATGAAGGGCCGCGGGATCGGTGATCAGGTGTGGTGGAAGGCTTCGACTGACCATTGCAGTGAGTTCATCGTGAGCAGCGCTCAGATCGGGACCAAGAAGACCGCCTATGTCTGTCGTGTCGCTCTTCAACGCGGCGTGATGATGGTGAAGATCGGCTGGTGTATGATGAAGATGATGAGAAGACACCAGCGAATGGAGATCCTTATCGTCCTGTTGTTGAGGTCCATGGTGTGACGGTGTCCTCTTACCTGCGCGAGCCATCTCGAGAGACGTAGGGCTGTTATGTCCGGCGGCGGCTGCCGCTGCTGCGGCGGCCGCAGCAGCCGGGCTGGTATGGTGTTGCTGATGCTGTTGATGTTTGTTATTCTGTCTTGTGAGCTCCTTCTTCTCATCTTTGAACCTCTTCTGACGGCGAAGGTAACAACCGTTCTCGAACATGTTCCCACTGTCCGGATGAAGGGACCAGAAGGATCCTTTGCCAGGTTTATCAGGTGTTCTTGCAATTTTGACGAAGCAGTCGTTGAAGCTGAGGGAATGCCTGATGGAGTTCTGCCAGCGTTGCTGATTCTGCCTGTAGAAAGGGAACAGGTCCATGATGAACTGATAAATCTCTGACAGCGTGAGCATCTTGGTTGGCGCGTTCTGTATGGCCATGGTGATCAGACTGATGTACGAATATGGCGGTTTCGCGTGGGTGTAACTCCTGCGGTACGGTTTGTCCGTTCTAGCACGTTGCAGGGCAGAATTAGGCGAATCTGGCTCGGTTAGAGATAGAGGATCCCTGGTAACCCCGGCGCCACCGCCAGGCGTCAATGGCCCGTAGCCGACGGCGCTCATACAGGCGCTACCGCCACCCATAGAAGCACTTCCGTAAGCCCCCATACCACCTCCACCCATCGAGGCCATCCCCATGGCAGAACTCATGGTGCTCATGTTAAAACTGCCGGCGCCCTGCGGGCTACAGCTCGGCCCGACTCCAACGCCCATCGACATGCCCATCGACATGCAGTTAATAGAGCTGTACGTCGGCGCCATACTGCCCATCGTGGACATCGCGGCGCTGGTCATCGCGCCGCCCAGGCTACCAGCGTCGCCGTACAGCTTCTGCGACTGAAGCATGGTCATAGAGCTCACCGAGGCCGGGGCCGAGCTGGCGGGCTGTTGTCTACTTGTCAAACGGGAATCATGAAATCCACAGTACCACGGCTGTTTTTGATAATGCGACACTCCCTTAATCTTCTCCCGTGGGACAGGAATCCCTGTCGCTCCTTGTTAACACACTAACGATCACTGACTGTCACTTTTATCTTCTACGGTCCAAAGAAAAACTTCACTTGAAATTGTCCTCGAACAAACTTCGATATAGATATATATTATATCACTGGCTTATCACTAATTTTCGAGAGTCCGAAACAAAAAATAATTCACTTTCAATTGTCTTCCGATGATCTGAAAAGGCTGCACAGACTGTCGTTCCTCTCTGTACAACACCCTTTTTGTAAACGTACTAACTTCACTTTCCTACGTCTACGTCTTTACGTCGATACACACAGTCGAGCACTGAAAACTCCGTCAACAATCAGCTTTATATACCACCCCACAATCAGTCGATATTATTTCGAGAACTGTTGTGTTTCTATATCAAGATATCGATACACCGTGTTGAATTAGACAGACGTCCGAGGATACGCGACACTGGTTAGACACACTTTCGAAGAAAATCAGCACAGATTGGTCACGCACGATCGTCCAAACAACGCATCGCGACTGTGTTGCACGCGATCAGACGCGGCTGGTCGCACGGGCGGCCAGCAGCAGCCACGGGTTGCTGAGCACACACCACCGGTTCACGATCGCTTGTTTGAGCTTTGGGGCCTGTGTTTGAGCCGCCTCGCCTCCCTCATTCAACCCAGCCTGTCTGTCTCTCTGTCTCTCTGTGTGCCGTGTGGATGGAGGCCGGTTAGCGAGTGTACTCCGCTACTCTTGAGTCTCCCGATCTTGTTCAAACACACCCCACTCCTCGCTGGTACCGCCGCGCCTGTTCCGACAAAGTCGGCAAATCACGCGTCGTCTGACCCCACCACAGGTAGAAACGGACGAATCAGGGGGGAAGGAAAGGGCGGCCAGCGTGGCCCCTTCGTATCGGGTGAATCGGTGGCGCGATAATGCGAGCGGGCTGGACGTCCAGGAATGGGAAAGCGTGCGCGCAGCTGCGGGACGCCTGGCTTGCGCAATGGCCCGCTGCACGCCGGCCGAACGGACTACGCGTCCCGACGGCCGCGTCCCGACGCTCCTCTCATGTCATGTCAACTGTCTGTCTGCCACGCGTTTGACACCCAAGCGGCGTACGACGCGCGATTTTTCTTCCTCTTCTTCGTCTTCTTTTTTTCTCTTTTCTGTGTGTGAGCGTGTGTGTGTGTGTGTGTGTGTGTTTTTGTTTTATTGTTCCTTGTTATCGTATTTGTCGTCTTGTTGTTGCTGTTGTTTGTTTATTATTCCATTGTTTCTTTTTTGCCTTTGAGTAGGTTGTATCATGTTTCTTTCGTGGTGATTGTTTCTTTGTTTCGTTTGATTATAGTTGAATTTTCTTTTTATCGGTGGTTTTGAGCTTGCGGCGTTTGCGTGTGTCTGGGGGTTGGTGCGATGTTTGTGCCGGTGAAGAGGAAGAAGATGATGCCGGAACTGCGACGATTGGAGACGCTGAAAGGTTCGTTGGTAATTTTGATTCTCTTTTGGGGATTTTGCGTTGGAGTATTTTTGTTTTATTGTCAACTATTGTTTCGTGCGGAGAATTTTGTAGTTTCGATTCTCCGCGACCGTTTCGATCTTCTTTAAACATTCACTACGTCCCCTATTCCTCTAATTTTCGTCGATTCAGACAACCAGAACGATATCCATTCGACCGAAAGTCACGACTGTTTGAACAGATGCAAAATCTGCTCTGAAATTAATGAAAATTAAACCTGAGAAATTGAACGACACGATTCTAGAAAGAAAATAAATCGATGCTTTAACAACGAGAATCTTCAACTGTGACCTCGATAGATCGAACGTTCTATTTTTCTTCTTCGATAGCGTAGGTGGTTGCTACGCTTTATTTAGTGTTCCCCTAGAATTTGTGCAAACCGAACGAATTGGTGTGCAAACACGCGTCAAATATTGAAACTAATAACATTTAATGACGCAAATACAGTGTTCGAATTAATAGTATACCGCCCACTGGTTCTCCAGATAGTTTGCAACTCGAAATATCCATTAGCCTGACAATGACGAAAATCGTAGGGCGGCTTGAATTGGTACTTGATTGATTTGTAGATATATATAAATAAAAGAAAAAAGGAAAAAATAAGAAATAAAGAATCTTCTCTTTTGATTTTTGAATAAAAATAACCTGCAAGATTTAAGAATGAACATCAAGTGTTAAGTAGAATTTAATGAACTTGAACTATATTGTTTGAGATCGTTTAAAGTGCGACACAGATTATTTAAACAAATCGAACAATATAAATATTGAAGCACGGCAAATTATAGCGAGTTTGGACTGACTCGATCAACTTACATAAGAATCCCACCGCTTTCATTACCTATGTCAAAGCTAGATAACTCAAACAGACCCGATAACATTTAATTACAACAACAAATATACACGCATAATATTTATCTATATCCATATAACACTGATAACTCTAAACATCCGCGGTAAATTCATCGATATTTGCGATCGAATTAAACCTCTTCTATTTTAAGTATACACTCGAAATTCTTTATACCTACCACCAGTGAACCATTTTACTTTTAAACGTAGATATTCAAAATTACGTTCTTCAATGTTCCATTTCTTTCACTGAGATAATTTTGGATTAATTTTCGAAAGAACGAAGCGTTGAAATTACCAAAATTATTTAGTCATTTAAATTCACTGTTCATTTTAAATATATTCAAAATTCGATTTTTCAACAGAAATAATTTCCAACGAAAGTTACTTTCAAGGTAGAAAAATTATCTAAAGAAATGTCTAACAATAAGTGACGCACAAATCGTTTCCCAAAATGTCTAGGAAATAAATAAAAATTATTTTAAAAAGAAAAGCATTCTAAAGTGGTGAAAGTGGTCGAAAGGAATTTTCAAGGAAATTATTTTGGTATCGTTTTGCATGGAAAATAAGCAGCGTACGACCTGAGCAGCGGACAATCGAGTTTCGCAATCGAATTTTCCGCTGTTCCGGCGCGTCGCGTCGCTCGATCAGCGCCGATTAATCGTTTATCGCGTCTCGAATAATTAACCGTCCGTGGCCCATGAATATTAAACGCGCGTAATAAAAAGAGATCGGATTTTCGGCGGATAATTCGGTTAGCTTAACTCGATCCAGTCGCGCGGTTTCCTCTGTCTCTCCCTCCGTCGATTCGACGCCTCGAAGCTCGCAAGTTGAACGATCTCTCGTCATTATTTCGCGATTATCCATTGTCCTTCTCTTAATTTCCTCTTTATTATATGAATTAACGAAGAAATGAGGAATCACTGTTCGAGAACTCCCTTCATTATACACTCGTACCCTACATAGTTTGGTGCATAAATTTCTACACTTTTTTCTGGTGTATTGTGACTGTAGGGGTTAAGAATATTTAATTTTGTGACTTCCTTTTGCTTAGAAAGAGAATTTAGTGAAATTAGTTTTGAAATTGGCTTAAATTATGTCCGATTCTAAACTTTTATACGTAATAGTCAAGAAAAAGGAAAAAAATTCATAATCGAGATATTCACGTAATGTTTCTGTGTAAGTTCAAACTTGGAAAAGCTGCGATCGAAACTGCTGAAAATATAAATTTTGCATTTGAAGAGGATTATGTAAATGTTAAGACACGTTAACGTTAGTGTACAAAATTCAAGATTGGTGACTTTTCATTGGAAATGAGTCAAGAAGAAGACCAGATAGAACCGTCGATGATGACGTTGTAAGAAAAATTATTGAAAACAATCCCACGGCAAAGAATATGAAATTTTGTCACATCCTCCCCTATTTCTTCAAATACCCGAACAACTTTTTTAACAAATAAATTATTCCGAAATGAAGACACCGTGAAAGCAGCGTACAAACAATTTTTTCATTCAAAGTCTAACGATTTTTATAAATTTGGAATAACGAAAAACGTATAATCGTGTGGAAATTATTTTCATTAAATACGCTATTTTTCGAAGGAACACAATGTATCTAAATTTTCATTTTTAAAAAACGACGTTTCATGTGCACCAAACTAATAGAAAAGAGATGTGAATTTTGTGTGAACTTATCCTCCGACGGAGAGCGGAGCAACGAGTTAAAATGTGATATATAAAGAAATGCAAGATAATTTTCGCTACAGTAAATAGTTTCAGCAGTTCTGAATCATTAAAATGATTCCATGGATTTTGCAATCTCTAATTATTCAATGATATTTGCCATGACTTTGCGAAACTTAAACTGAGAAACATTTCTGTTTCTGCTCGTTTGAAACCTGATGTATAAATAAACCGAAACCTAATATTTTAATATTACTTTAATATTTCTGACATTCGCCATTGTTCCGATTACAGTAAATCTTTCAAAAATAAAAACAACATATTAGAATATATAATAAGAGTTGAATATTTCTTATTTGCGAAGAATAACTTTGTTAAAAGTTGCGATTCTGCCCGAAGAATGACTTGTTAATAATGATCGAGTGGCGAACTCGTGGAGGAAAATCGGTAAATCACGAACGTAGCTAAATAGTATTTTTTGGAGGAAGTGCGAAGTGCGTTCTAATGTGTCTGGTGACTCGAAATCTCAAGGGAACGTGACACGAAGAAAAAAGCATCGAAGGGTGTTCGATGTGTCGCATTTATTCAACGACTTAACACCGTTCATCGTGGTGTAAATCACCGAATGGTGACCCATTTTGTCCGTCACGAAGGAGAAATCTTGCCTTCCAGTTTCACATTTACCATTAGAGGTAAAGTGGAAGAAAAAAGGAACGAAATGAGTAAAACACGAGTGTGAAGAATATTGTAAGAAGATAATCCTAAAATTTCCCAACAACGGTAAAATGCAACAACATAAGAATCCATAGTAAAAATTGTTTAATCGTGTTAATCGAGTTCAATAAAAATCAGAAGACGTTCGA